AAAGGGAGGATCATTAAGCAGTGGTGTGATAACTGGCTAATTGTGTGGGGAAAATTCAATGACAACCTTACTTCACACCTTCCACCAAAATTAATTTCAAATGAATTAAAGATACAGATGTAAATAATGAAAACGTGCTAATATAAAATATAAGGGAATGTTTTTAGAAAGTTGTATTTGGAAAACCCTTAGTATGATACCGTAAATAGAATCTATAAAGAAAAAAATGACAGATTTGGCTACATTAAAATGTTAACTTTAGTATAACAATAACAAAACAGGATGAAGAAAAAAATGGAGAAATGCAATATATGTTATAGATAAGAGAATACTAATATCTTTAATATATGAGTAGCTATTACAAATTCAGTAAAAGGAAAATCTCTATGGTAAGAAAAAATAAGTAAAAGACATAAACAGAATTTTTTAGAAACAGTAGTGACTAACACATATAGAAAAAAACGAAGAAATAACTAAGTATATGTAAACTACAACGACAAAATATTGGTGTTTACTTTTCTTGCTCTAATTGTGAATGGTTCAAAAGATCAGCAAGATTCACTCCTGTTGGGTGTGTTTGTTGACACAACCTTGCCTGAGGGCTATTTGGTAGGTAGCTAACAAAAGTAAAAAAAAAAAAAAGCCAAGCTTCTGAACAATAAAGTCTAGGAATTTATCCTAAGGAAATAATAAGGCAAATTCACAAAGAATGTTCATTGTAGCAATGTTTATTACAGCAAAATTGGAAACAAACTAAATAGCTACTAATAGGAAAATGGTTAAATAAATTAAGGTACATCGTAAAATGAAATATTAAACAACTCCTTTAAAAGATTGTGTAGACATATTATTAGGAAAAATGTGTATCATTTATAAGTAAAAAGCAAGTTACAAAAAGTATATTTTTGTAAATATAGGTACACAGAAAAAATATATTCCAAATGTACTTTGCTGAATTGTCCAAAATGTTTTATATTTTACTTTATCAGAACAAGCAATAATAATGTTTCCATTTGGGAAACCTGAGGCCCCAGGTCAGAGGTCCCTTTCCTCACTGTGTCTTCCTTGATCCTCCTCACCCACTCCCACCCCAGCTCTGTTCTGTAGGTGGGGGACTGTGTCCCCAGCAGCCAGCTCTTTGAGGGCCCGGCTCGGCTCCGTTGATTTATCTCCCTCCGGTCCCCAGGGCCTGGCACTAACTAGTGCTCCGCGCGCACGCGAACGAGTGAAGGAATGCACGGCCCCGTTTTCTCAGGTTTCCCTGAAAGATCTGTGAATTGGAAGGAATCGAAGCGCCCGAAAGGCACTAGGTCTGATCCTACCCGGCCAGAACTGAAGGCGAGAAGGAAAACACCTACGAGACGGAGTCGGATCTGGGTTCCCAACTCCCTCGAGGCTCAGCGGCATTGTGACCCCCGGGAAACGGCGTGTCGCTGAGCCTTAGCCGACAGGACCGCCACGCTCCCCAAGGACTGCGAACGAAGCAAGACTGCACGCCCCGAGCTCCTGGCAGAGCGGCGGTACACAGTAGGCGCTCTAAGTTAGCAGCTTACAGTAGGGCGATGGACAGCACCCTCGCGCGTCGTCTCGGGCTCAGGCGCGCCCTGCCAGGAGCGTGTGCGGAC